ACAGCACTCCTTCTCACTTGGTTCAGAACCTCGTGGATTGCATCGCTCTTGTTCGCGTCAACCAGTCGGTCTGGTGCTCAGTCTCATTATACTTTGTTGAGGAGGACAGCAGTACACGGCATGACCATTGCCATCATGCCAAGCACGTGCCAGGCTGACAACTTGGGCCATAGTTTGAGGTATCATTGTCTTTATGAGATCGCCGGCCCAGCCAACCGACAGGGCTTAGGCAACCCGGCTCAGGACACATGGTCCTGCCTTTTCAGCGCAAGGCATTCCTGAGTTCGAGGAGTGTCTGCCCTTTTGGTCTTAGCGTAGACGAGCTGAGCCGCTAGCTAACATGATTCGAGATGGGGAAAAAAGACCGTCTTGTGGTGGTATATGGTCCGTCCACACCTCGCTCCTCAACTCCGGATTTGCGCAAAAGATGATCGACCCTCCAGCTATCCGGGACGGCGTATATGCCACAAAGGGATCGCCATGATCTGGTGCATTTCAGTTGAAGTCAGACTGGCGACAATGCCGTCGATCTCGCGACAGGGACCGGTGCTGGACAACGCGACTAGGATATCGACACCATCTTTTGCTCGTCCAGATCTAGGGGATTCTTCGAGAGACAACTGTATGGATGGATCCCTGCCGTGTCAGACACCTCCAACTCCGAGTTTCTTGCTGTAGATCCCGAGGCTCCTCACGATATTCGGCAGTGGGCCTGCGGGTTCGCCTCGCCCACTTGCCAATCTCTAGGCCTTCGGATAACCTCTTTCCTTGACGCAGGGAACCCGCCAACATCCTCTGACTTCCGCAAACCCTGGCTCGGCACAACTGCTCGCAGCGTTCCGGAGGGTCTGCTACAACATCTAGGCAGGCCTGCATGGCGTGCGTCGACGTCACTCAAGAGTTTGATCTTCTCTCATCCTTGCCCTTCTTGTGTCCGTAGTTAGTCACCCCGGACTCGTTGGTGGCAATCCAGAGACGGTCGATCGCGACTGGAAATTAGCCTGTAATCCTCTTGTGGTGATGAGGCCGTGAAAGCGAGAAAGTCGGCCGGGTTCCCAATTGTCCTGCTGGTTGAGTCATGGTATGGTGACTGTCGGATCGCAGCTTTATCCGACTGGATATCAAAGTCAAATCCGGCTGCTATGCTTCAGAAGTCTATAGGTGCGAGATTCGGAGGGTCGGCGCTTTGCATCAGTCATGGTACATCCAGAGCTGCGCATTTGTACACTGCTTCAGATGTAAGGTCGCCACCAAAACCAGGCTATGCGAGGACCACGGGACGCTTGCTTCAGACTCGTCAATGCCGGTTCTGAGGTTAGAGCAACCTTTCCGCAGACAATATCCAGACCTCGAAGCGTGATACGAATAGGAGGATACAGGAATAGCCTGAATGTATGATGAGGCTAAAACTGGTCAGGAATTTGACGTCCATGATGATGACTGGTGGACGACCCAGTTGGACGCACCTCAGACGCCCCTCAGCGTGCTCTTCAGTGTGTTTCATAAATATTTCGCTCTCGTAGTGTAGTTCGTTCAAATCCTGTAGGCGGCGTGGTTGATGAAGGCGATTTTAGATGGTGGTTAGCGGGAGGCGTATGGCAGTGGTGGAAGATGGCGAGAGCAGAAGATCAACCTTGAGTACATGGGGAGGCAGCGAGGAGTCTTTGACAAGCTTGGATAAGACAACAAGAGTACCAGACTCACGAGGAGCCACTGTTGGCCAAAAGCGGCACCGTTTCCTTCACTTCTTCGTCTTCTTTTCCAGGAAGGATCGTAACGGAAGGCAAAATATCGCCACATGTGGAGGATATCTGTTCACGCCAACGTGTCGTAAACTTGGGATCAAACGGAAGACTCATCAAAATGGAAGTCACGTCGGCTCGGGCTCGCTAGAGGCCTCGAGCTGCTCCTCCTTCGGATAGTCTCCCCGAAAGGTGGTAAGTGAAGGTTCACACGGCTCTGAACCCTTCAAGGGCAGGCGCCAGCAAAGAGACCGTCCACATACACGAGACAGCAAGGCATGAACTGTCAAGTTCCTTCAAATTTTACAAATCGCATGACATGTTCAGCCCCAACATTTTCTTACCTGCTTTGACACCTTCAGGTTGTCGTGAAAGTTGGCGTCTCCGAGTTAAGCGTAACATCTGGTTCGCTTGCGTTTACGACATCGGCGCAGATCCTGGAGTTTGGTGAACATCAATCCTCGCCGGCGTACCAAACAATAGTTTCTACTACTGCATCATGCTAGGCAGCCCTTCAGCAATATCTTAATTGAACAATAGATACGGATCTCGCGGTGAGTGTTCTTTCTGCTAATATCCTCTTGGGCTCACGCTAATTATTCGCATGTGGCTTAGATGCGCAATTGTATTGAAGGTACTGACGGCTCGCGAGACTTATATCTGATTCGATTGTAACATTAACCGTTGTAACCTAGCTAGCCTACATACCGAGAGATGTGCGGAAAGGCTGACCTTAACCGGATTTATTCGCCATTTCGGTGGAGGCCCTCGAAAGTCTATCATCCTCAACTCGCGTTCGACCGATGCCAAAGTATGCCACTGTGGCTGACTATGCTCCCCTCGTAGGGCTCCGTGTCCCTTTCCGTCGCATTTCTTTCCCTTCCATGATGGAAGAACGAATCTTTCCTGGAAGGTGCCGAAAGGTTGAGGTCGAAGTGAAGGGGGCAAAGCTTGACCAGGCCCCTCGAGAAAAGACAAGCAGCAACAGCTGAAAGGTTCAGTTTCACTCAAGCAGCCGTCCCAAGTTGGACGCTCGAAACTAACTTGACAACAAAAGAAGGCCACTCTACCGAACATCACCTTGAACCCAACATGGCCCAGTACTCTCCATGCTGGACTGTCAAAGGCCGCGCTTTGCGGCTTCCAATCATGGTTTTATCTTGGACCTCCCCCCCCCCCCCAGACGCTCTACAAAGCCAAACTATGACACCCATCGGCAATATCAATGTTGGGCGTTGTGACGACGGAAATTGCAATGCTTCTCGGAAACCGCACCACCTTACAGGACAGGTACTCACCTAGGTCATTGCACAACGCGTTGTCGAAGCCTGATATCAGTCATTCTATCTCTGTATCAACGTGCGATTCACTGCGAGGGGCTGTTGTCCAATGTGGAGTCGAAACGGAAATCACGCGCAGAACTTCTCCTCGAGCGCATCAGTTCGCCGGCCACGCTCGGCAAAAAAAAAAGTATGAGGGGGGATCGTCCTACCTACTCAACAAGGCATGTGGGCTTGCGGGCGTCCGAACGGGGACCGTTCTCCGTAACGTAGGTGTGGACACACGGAGCAACTGGTGGTCTCCGACCCGGCCCGGCCACTTGTTAGTCAATGAGAACGAACTCTGAAGTTTGAACGGCGACCATCAATTTCTACAGTATTGTGACGTCGAGTCGACTCGGTTTTCCAAGGTGCTACACATTCAAGCGAAAGGCAAGGAACATCATTCAACATAGAAAGATCCGATTCGGATACTCAGCTGCGGCAGACCGGTGCCGATTGACTGGCCCCATATAACCCGGATGAGCGATACCAACTACGGCCCCACCATACCGCGCCGACGCCCCGGCACTGGCGCATGGGACGGAAGACCATCCAATGGTAGCACCTGAAACCAGCCAGTAGCGGCCCAAGCACCGAAGAAATGGCATACGGCAACCGGGCGTATCCGTTCCACACGTCCACAATCTAGTATCCAAACGGTTGCTCTGTGGTTTGCCCTACCGGTTTCCGAGCGAGAGTTACGTTCTGGCTCTGTCTTTGCTCAAAAAGATCAGGCGAAGAACCTTGAACTCCTTATCTGACGGCAGTCAAGTTTACTCCAAGGCGTCCCTCATAAACCGTAAACAAACTTCTCGCAACCGTAACTCCCATCCTATCAAGCTTTTCCAGCCACGGAAGACTCAAGGAGGGACGAAGGATGGCCAACACCTCTTTTCTCTCGGAGTCCCTCCCCGCATCGACGTCAGTACACCACCTACCAACTAAACTCAGTTCCTCCGATCCAGTGCCGTCTCTCTTCCGTTACCTTCCCCCCTTCCACCAACTAGCTCTTCTGCCTCGGTTTCGTCAAAGAAGCCGCCCTGTCATCGCCAAAGTCACACACCCAAAATTCAAACAGGCTCACTCCCTACTTGACCTGCCACTGCTGTCTCTCAGAGTCCTACGGGCGACCCAAGCAACCGGCGCACCGGCAGAGGCTTTCCAAAAAAGACAAGAGGCACAGGCAACGATATCGCTGCTGGGGAGCATTCGCACACCCACCATAATCAGTAATCAAGACTGCAAAGAGATAGATGTCCAATGGGGACGTACTGCGTTTGGGAATTTGACCTCGACCTTGCAGTGGCATCACCTTACCGATCGCGGTGGAAGATTCCCGACGTCCCTAGCTTGAAGTTGTCTCGATCGACTAATGAATCGTCAGCCATGATCCCTTTCCTGCTCCTCTTCCCGTCTGTGCTCCCCCGACTTTGCCCACATTCATTTGCGTAGATGGATGGGTGTCATGTCAGCCAAGCCTGCATGCGCGCATACGTTACCATTACAAGTTTAACATCATTACGGTCAGGCCCTGGGTGCATTTGTCATAGAAGAACGCCAAAGATAAGAAAAATGATGATGAGAGTCAAGAAACTTTTCAATTTCTGGGAAAACCACCCGCGTTGGTAGGTCCCCCTGGTATCATCTAATGCCGGCCCCTTTCAAATAGAAGTATGTACAAGTTTTGTTGAAGAAACAGTATGGACTAGTGTTCGTTTTACTGGACGCCGGCCCTCTGTCGATTAATGCGTGAAATACCAATTTTCCTCCCCTCTTCTATGGGCCAGCAGGAACGGTCTCGACGTGCTCTCTCAGTTGAAGTGAAACTCAAAAAACGCCGCTTTGTGATTTAAGGTTGATTGTAGGTGATGATGATGACTCGTCGAATTTCCGCAAACGGTGTTCAGACGTCACGTCACGCCAAGCCTGCTCGTGCTCATAGCGCGAACAAGACAGCGGCGAAACCGGCAATCATGAGCGAGATGGAAGCGCCGCTGGTCGAGGCCGCACCGGGGAAGGGCACGATGGAGCTCGTCGGCGAAGAGGTGGCGGTAGGGGCGGCGCCGGTTCCGCTCATAGTCGCCGCGGTGGTGGTGGAGCAGTTGTCGTGCGAGTCGGGCTTGGTGATGAGCTTGAAGTTGGCGCAGCTGATGCGGGTCTTGTTGGCAAAATGGAAGACGAAGCTGCGGTTGCCGAAGAAGGAGCCGGGGCCCTCGACGATGGAGAGGTAAGGGTCGACGTAGGTCTTTTCGTAGTCGACGGCGACGGCGCCGTGCTTGCCGCTCAGGTCACCGACTTGGCACGTCTCGGGCTTGGAGCTATCGCACTTGGTGGCCTCGCCGCGGATGAAGGGATCGAGATGGGCGAGAGTCTTGGTGCAGTTGCCATCTTCGGGGACGGGGTCAACGTGGAGGTGGTATGCTGGAGGTTGTTAGTCGCAACGAAAAATAATAACTAAAAATCGAGGGAATAAACATACTGAAAGGACCGCCTTCCTTGGGAAGGTTCGAGAATCGGACTTTGAATTCGACACCCTTGCCATCAGGGGCAGTCACGGCGACGATGGAGCCCTGGACGTTGCCCTCTAGCGATCCGGCCTTGTAGAAGGGCTTCTCGGGAAGGACAGCCTCATAGACAACACCAGCCGGGTTGGAGACGATGGTGGCATCACCAAGTTCCTGAGAGCCATGTTAGTAAGCTTGAACCGAGCATGCGAGGTAAAGACGCGGTGACATACGCCAGTGGACTGAGAAGCGACACGACCAACAGCCGCGGCGGCGATGATGGAGACGATGGAGAAGGACTTCATTTTTGCGGTGATGATGTTGTTGTAATATCCTAGGTTGCTGAGAAACGGGATAAAACTGGTTGGAATGCGGCAAGCGATGATCAAGGGCGAGCTTGTGAAGTTGGGGGTGAAGTGAAGGGTAAGAGGGGTTGGGAGAGCTTCTTAAAAGAATAAGAGACCGTGGGGATGCCCAGACCAAGTGATGATCCAACTGGGGAGGTAGTGAGCGTAGGTTGGAAATGGAAAGCTAATGGAGATCTGCAAACGGCAAGAAGGTATTGGGTTGAGACTCTTTATGGCCCACACACACGCACTCACACGAGAGAGAGAGAGAGAGACTCGAGAGAGATGTGATGAGGATGGGACCAACAACAGCCCCCAATGTCACGGTAGCTTGGCACCCTACAGGCCGGTATGTATGCGGAATGCCAACGGCAGGGTGAATGACCACACCCCGGCTGCGCTAGCTCCAGATTAATCAAAGAAAGGAACGAGAGTCAAGAGGAGGCCACAACATCGGATGCTTTGAGCCATCATGTATTTTGTACGACCAGGGGGGGAAAGAAGAGTGGAAGGGGATGTAGTGTAGAAACGGCAGCTAGCCGTCGGCGCGTCTAGGCGAAGGAGAAGAATGTTTCTCTCGCAAGGCACGTATCGAAGCTTTGCGCTGCCGGGGTGGACCTTGTGCGCCCTGTGCTACGAGAGAAGAGATGATGGAAGGGCAAGCTGCAAGCTGCAAGAGGGAGAGTCATAGGAGGAGAAGGGCCAGGGGTTGGGGAGGAACGTCAAAGAGACAAGGCAGGCAGGTGAGTTTGCGGGCGGTAGAAGGGACCGTCTTGCTCTTTTCGTGAGTCGTGACGGGCAAAGGAAAGTTCAACTCAATGACAAGGAGGCTGGCCATTGCCTCAATAGCCGACGGAGTTTACCTGACTGGTATTGAGTAGAGTACGGATACTTTCGGTACGGGAAGCGGAAGCGAACACAACCTCCTCACTCTTAGTATCCGCAGTCAGGATGAATAGCTACCGTGGAAGTATTCTGTCCCTGTCCCACCGCTTAGAGATCTCCATGACATGGTCGAGCCAAGCAAGCACCAACCTCGGGACTTTTGATAGTGTATCCGGAGCTGTAAGGGTTGGCAGGGGCTGCAAGGCGAGGAAAGGAAACACACAGAGAAGGCCAGAATCCTAGTTGGCATCTTGCCCGATTTGGCATCTCGCTTGCTGGGATTTGTTGCGGGAACAACGGAGGGCAAGACAGGAGGACGAGCTCGCGCCAGGAGCGACGGGAGGGATGGGCGCAAGGGAAGGGAAATCCGTTGGCTGCCACTGGGCAGACGAGACTGTGGTAGCGACTCTGAACTCTGGGCTACCACCTACATTGCATGGAACAAAAAACAAATAGGCGGTTGGTGATGTCTGACTTTGTTTCCCCATGCACTGCGCCACCTGGGAAACCCATCTTGCCCCTGCCAATCAGAAATAGATTGCGCGCTCCAAAGAAACGTGCCAACGGTGAACACAAGTTCGGGGGGTTTTAGGGGCACGCAGCACGCAGCACGCAGATGCGTACGGAGTACCTAGGTATATTGCTGAACATGCAGATAGCCGCTCAAAGAGCAGGGCAAGGCTGACGAGTTGGTGGCTGTGGAAAGAGGGGAACCCAAAGAAAACAGCGAAGCAGTGTCACTCGCTACATGCCAGACTTCGGCCAAACAACCGTCCAAGAGTATTGGTAGAAACAGAGACAGGCGCGGAGAGAGAGGCAGAAGCGGCGGCTATCCAGCCTCCTCCAGACGTACAGCAGTCCGCCTTGTTGTTGGTTCGACTGATGGAAATGAGCCTCCTCCAACATGAGCCTGGAGGGAGGTAGACCTTGATTGACCCTAGGCACCAAAGGAATTGTCTTCTGGGACCTGCGGGCGCATGAGCGTGTGACGGGCTATGCTGTTGTTGATGGGATGTGATGCCCATGGTAACGATGATGGTAGGTAATGATGACATTGATGTTGGCGGGCTGAACAATAAGGTGGTGGAGACGGAATGCCATGGGGGCCTCGCTTCAGGCCGCCATCAGCTGTGGGCCAGTGAACAGTCGGCCTTTCTCAGCGTGCCCGTTGAACAAGCACCTTGTCCCGTCATAGACATCCTGGCTTAAATCCCCGACCCAACCAACGTCCAGCTGAGGAGCTGCTGGGGCGAGTTATGAGTGACATATGTGAGCTCGGATGCTCTTCCAGTTGTCTTCTGCATCCAAGCGCGCTGTCTCTCCTTCGCTCAGATGAGTCCGTCACTCACCTACTCACTCACTCTTACCACATGGAATCCATTAGGCGCGTTTTGAAAGACAACGGCTTCTGCGAGGTCCCGTATTCGACTGTCCGTCCCTTGCCCTAGGACCTTCATCAAAACTGATTCCAGTGTGACAGGGGCTGATGAACGGCCCCCATAGACTCAGGCGCACTTTGGTGCCAGACAGGACAAAGAGAAGTGGGCAGATGGGTTGGTGACTGGAAATTTGGGGGTAGTTGCAGACTGCAGACACCAGAACTCTGACGATGAACACCACCCAAACATTTGCTCTTCGCCCCCAACGCTGGTTTGCTTGGCTCAGGGCTGGCTTTCTTTTCTTCTGTTCCTCTCTCCCCTTCTAATATGTTTCAGCAAGCCCACCCCGGGCCCTTGCATTTTGCCCTGCACATTTGGACCAACACATCAGCCAAAGACCAGCTGGGGATGTTTCTTTCAGGTAAGGCGACTGTTGGTAACGATGTTCCCATGACCAGCAGTGCCGCCCCCTTTCCAAAGCCATGCGGTTGGACTGTTTTGATAAACCTCATTCAATTTCGCTCTGTGAAATTGGCTCGCAAACATGTTGCTCAAGGCCTGTGAGCAGGGCTCCGAACTCAGGAGACTCACCTCAGGCTATCAACCATGGGCGAAGGGCAAACATGCCTCGAACCACCAAGAAGAAGTGTGTAGGGCGCAAAGTCGTGCGAATGTGACACTGGAAGATGCTTCCCCGAACTTGCAGCCATCCTCTGTGTGCCCTCTCTGTGTGAGTGCTGTGCCACCTTCCTTGCCTTGCCTTGCCTTGCCTAGCCCCCCAAATTGTTCCAATAAAGTGCTTGTCGCATGCTAATTATCAATGGACTCACCATATTGCCCTGCCCACCTGTGCTGGTTGGTTGACAAGTTTCAAGTTCCATTCCGAGCCGAAGGGCAGCGTTACTAGCGCTGACCGGCTGGGGATATGTGTGGTGCGTGGGAAGCTTTCGGCGCCAGTGCCTTGCAGATCGCTTGCGACTCTGCTAGTCTCGATTGATTGGCATTCGAACCCTGGTTTCCCGATGCAGTCCACCAGTCACCACGTTGCAAGACAAGGTCTTATTGGCCCCGATGCCCTGGACCACCTCTTCCAAAGGCTGACGAGCGCTAGCAGCTCGAGCGAAAGAGTACTTACCGGTTCCGATATTCAGGCAGCGTGGAATGGGATTGTTCCGATACCCGGTTGTTGAAAACCATCAGAGATGCGCCAACCTTTGGTGGTGTTTCGAAGAGGGTGCATTGTCAGCTGCAGAGCTTTCTCGCCGTGTGGAAAGGGTTTCCTTATTCGTAGCCAAGCTTGAGTCGAACACCGCTCCCAGGATCGAACGTCACTGTCTATGACTTAAGCCCGCCTTCTCATCCTATCCTGTCAACCTCGCACCACCTTCTCGCCATGCAGCAGTGACGGCTATCGTCCCGTTTGTGCAATCGGCACCTCTGTGCCATTGTCGTCAGAACATTCTCTCTGCCGACATGACGAAAGATCAACGCTTGGTATGGACGTCTGTATCCCAGGCACAGGAAGAAGGGCATGCTCTCATTTGGGCCGTCTTCGGGGATGCACAAAGGGCAGGCCCAAAGGTCTGTTCACCTTGCCTCAAAGCTTCCGTGTACTGCGAGCGTTTCAAGAGAAACAAAATCTGGTGATGTTCAAAAGTTTGGCGATATCGTATAGTTCCGTTCGGAGTTGGACCATCCGTCTGGGTCCAAAATTGCTGTTTCAGCTTGTCATGTCACTGCCCAAGCGATGAACACATTGGCGGCCCTGCCGTTTGGCTGGCTGCTTTGCCAGCTTGATCCCAGACGAAGCGACAGATACCGCCCAGTCAACCTCTTATCAGGCGAACTGCTGCCCACTGGTCCGTCCTGTCAGTGTCGGTGACAAACGGCCGTCTCTTGGCATTCGATCTTTCGTGGCTTAAGCTTCTTCCACATCGATGCACCGTTTCTCCACTACCAGATGGGCTAGAATCGTTCGGAATTTGAGTAGAGCCTCCACTTAGCAGTAGATAGCACAGAAGACCGTTCCCAAGGTGTCAGGTGACGGTTTAGCACGTCTAGCTCAGACTGGCCTCGGGCTCGATCCTTAGCACGCTAGACCTGGCGTCACCTTGTGCGGCTCCTCTTCGTGGGTTTCCCCCTTTCCTAACATGCGCTTGGGAAATCCATCGTCATTTTTCTCTAGTATCGTATTGTCCAAGGTCGGGGTAGAGGAAACGTGTTTCAGGCTTCAGGGTTCTGAGCAGACGAAACCTTTGGGGGACGACTTTGCCTATCTTGAAAGTGTATGTGGGACGGCAAGGACGCCCATGTCGGATCCTTCCGACTATAAACCTGAGGCGACTAACGCGGATAGTCGCCGGCAGAGCTTCGTATTGTCCAAAAACATGGTTGATCGGGATTGCTTCGAGATCCGGAAAGGACCGCATCCGCCCAAATTCGGCCAGACAAGCAGAATTTTCTAGAGAGCCGTTGCAGATGGACTGATGGAATATGTCGATCTTGAATCTTAAGCTGCTCTAGTGTGAAAACGAGCATGCGTGCACAATAGGTAGGATGATTGGGTTGTAGAGCAGAGGTCCGGGCACAGATTTGCGAGCGGCCCCACCCGCGCCGAGAAGTGGCCGGACTGCGACCTCGGCGGGTCTTTCTTCCGACCGAATGTGGCTGGTAAGCGGCTGATACGTGGCTGGACTGGACGGTGGCTGTAACTTCGAGCCTGGTTAGTCAGGCAAGCTTATTGGACGTCACTGAACTGGCGTGGAGCTCGGCGAGATAGGTAGCAGCAACAGCCTCGACCATCGCGACCATTGCCAACGACGTCGCCGTACGCATCACGACCCAACGACTTCGCATTCGCGCCCTATCACACACACAGCCAGGAACCCAGACCTTCGCCTCAAACCGCAAATATGAAGCCCGTCGTCAGTGCCATGCAAGCATGGCAATGGTACGCCCTCCCCCATCACAAACCCCCCTTGAGCCAAGCTTTCGAGTACTAACTTATCTACGCTCGATAGCACTGTCATCTCCGTTTTCGCAATCGTCATCCTCGGTGTTCTCGGTATCCTATTCAAGCAAAACCACCCCGAGCTCGTCGGTAGTGAGGAAGATCCCAAGGACGGCGGTGCTGTTGCGGGCACCATCTTCGTGTCTGTGATGATCTACGTCGTACGTCACACACTCTCCTCTTGCATATACCGGCAACAAACACACACTTATGAGAGGGGAAACGTTACTGACCATCTGCACTAGGGGTTTTTCGTTTTCTGCGGCCTGCAGGGCCTTCTCCACGTCCGGGAGAATCAACGAGGCGCGATCGCATTGTAATGATACGGAGAACGGGGTATTGGAATGTGCAGAGCATGGCATCAAACACACATTATGGTTTTCCTGGCGTTTGGCATCACCTTGTTGAATTTTGGTACGGCACAGCTCAGGCACCCGCCTCTGACTGCGGCGGGTTCCCCGGCCGGATGAGAGGGGAAGGGTTGGCTCCGTTGAGGAGAGCGTTGTTCCAGGACCCGAGCTTGCTGTTGTTAGCATTTCGCTATGAAAGAGCAGGAGGGAGCATGGGTTTCGATGTACGAAAGATATTCTTTTTAGAGGCTCGCGCGGAGTTTCGTATATAATGAGCAGGCGTAAGCTCTTGGTATCAAAGGTGCGAGGTGAGGAACCTTAACAAGCTGTCGCAATCGTGTCGAGACTATGACCTGGCCAGTGTCACTCTCATCCATTGACGTCTTTTCAAGGACTGGGCCGAGAAACTAACCTACAGGATGTAGACGCGGAAACGAGCCCGCAAGTGACGGTACGGCGTTAAGTTGGACCACGTCGAGGGGGGCGTGACTTTGGTAGAGTCGCAGTTCTCCTGCATTACAACGGGTGATCGGATTTGCTTGATGTTTTGGCCAGTATGTACACAAGGTCTTCCTAGCTGTGTCCAGAATTTGGTTCTTTGCACTATACTCTATGTAATTCAGAGGTAGAGAATCACTTAGGCCACAACGCTCTTGCCCATACCAAATTCGATCCTCGGCCCTTCGAGATATCTTTGTCCCTTAGAATCAGACTGGTGGTATAATGCCGCTCGGGCCCGAATGTTCCCCCTAATTCAATCTACTGATTCGGATTGAACAATATAATTAACTCTGAAAAGCCAGAGTTCAATGATCGCCAACCGAGGTGTCTATAAGGAGCAGTGCATGTGCGCGGGAAATGGTCAGGCAGGCTGGTGAAGGGGCACTTATTCGCGAAATGAGTGTGTGGTAGCTGAGTAAGATTGAGAAATTTATCACCTTAGGTCCGTATTATTTTTCCCATGAAGTATGACTTTTCGAGATCGATACCGATGACTGCACAAGGCAGTGACAGTTCGAAGCATGTATACGGACTTGGGCAATCAGGCCTAGGCTAACTCCGGTAGCAGCATGCTCGAGCATCATCTACAGATCAGCGTCTTGGAAATTTGCTAGAATTTGCAGTGAGTCTCTTCGTTCGTATGGTTCGAGAATCATGTGATCCGGAATCCTCACTTAAGTATTTGTGAGGGGACGCGAGCCGAGCAAGACAAGAAAAATGGACTGCGCAATCTCAATACTCTCCATTCTGACTCTGAAAAGTGAACCATCGAGATCGAACATTTGATTAAAGCGATCCCCTTTCATTGAGTTGATTCTCCATTTCGATTAAAAATGACTCATATTGGCACAGATGTTGGTTATGGTTTCCGTTCTCCTGCGGTGCTGTGCGGCCTTCATGGCGGTCACGATGCCTTCATCCTGGCACATACGACCATACCCATTGGAAAACTCGGGATCCCGTCCGCTCTCCCATAGATAAGCCAATGAGGGCCGGATTAGTAGTTGGGTCGGTGACGACCAGCGAATACCTGGTGTTGTATGTTCTTTTGCTCTTGGTCATGATGGAGCGGGTCAGGAATCTTTGCTGGTTTTGCCTTCTCGCTCAGGTCGGTGACGACCAGGATACTCCGGTGGAATGAAACAGACAAGCAATTGTATGTTCCGTACTCCCAACCTCGCTTTGATCTTTTGGGGGTGGTTCTGGTAGTTAAGAGACGTCACTGGGAACATCGCGGTAGACTTACTTCCCCTTATGAGGATGGCAACTTACACTAGAACTTGACTGCCTCTTTGCCGGTTACACAACAGGGCATGAATGACTAGTTACACAAGCCATGCTTCTAGATGGAATGAATGTACTTTAGCAACGATGGCCCATGGGTACCCAAATCCGTGGGGACCCAAAACCCAAAACCCACGGGGCCCAATGTGTAATTACCAAAAGCCCACGAGTGTCTTCAGTTCGACACATGGGGGTTTTGGGTCCCCAAACTCAGAATCACCCAAAACCCATAAAAAGCCCCGATAACCCATGGGTACCCACGAACACCCAAACCCGCACGCGACTCTAAAGACCGAGGTAAAAGACCATCGCAGAGCTCGCCACTTACACTTCCGTGGCCACCATGGCTGCGGGTTAGAAAGATCGCACGTGTAGTTAGTAAAAGCAACAGGAAGCATTGAGGCTCGAAGCAGAACTTACTAGAAACTTTTATCAAGCAGTAGGTGGGTCTTTACAAAGATCAGCCAAGACCTGAATATATTCAGGAGCCTCTTTTTCCAACCTATTTGCTTTAGAAAGACGACATATCACTCAACGAATCTGAACTTTCGTGGTTATCAATATTATCTACCTCGCTGCATTGTACTTTGCGAAGAAGCATCGTTCATACCCCGACGCAGACATGATAGAAAAGCCGACTAGCTTCGCAGATGGCGTCCATGTTCGGGTCCCATGCGTCGAACCGAACCAATGTGAAGATGATGTGTTCTTCAATAGCCTCCTGGCCGATGTGTCCAGACCACGATGATCTTCAATTATCGCGGCATATAAAGTTCAGATGAACCTTAGTCGGTTCTTTAGTGACCACGAGGCGGCTATTCCCAAGATGGTTCGTCTCGTCTCGTAGTATGGATGTATCCGTTTGTATCGATTCATAGTACAAACATTAAATATTACAAAGCCGCAGTCCTCGCATCCAGTCGAGCCTGCCCCGCCAACCCTCTTTCATATTACACGTTCTCCGGCCCCATCGATACTATCCTACTCTCCCCCTTAGCTCCAGCCTTCCCGTAAAGCTCGAAATCCGTGTAAACGCTACTGATCGCGACCCTGGCCGGGGGAGGCGAGTTCCACTGAGACGGACCGCCCCCGTGCTGCTCCTGCTCCGCAGCCGACCAGGCGTCCGAGCCGACACGGGAAACCCTTTTCACAGTGTTATACGTCGCGTAGGTCTCCCCCGTACCCGCAGAAGATTCTCCATCTCGCAAAGGCGTGCTCCTGCTCTGCGGGAAGACGCACCGCCACGCGGCACGGAGGGTGGGCATTCCGAGGACGAGGTTGCCGACTAGCATTGCGGTACTCGTCTCGCGCACGCACCACATAAACCAGACGAAGTCGGTTGAGTATGTGAAGACGGCAACCTTGGTAAGGATTGCGCAGAGCATCTGTTTGAGAGACGTTGGTTAGCCAAGCGAGACTTGTATGATGGGAGGAGGTGGAGCTTCTTCAGGATGGAACTTACAACGAATACGCCCATACTAAAAAGACAGATGAGAAGGAGTTTTCTGCAGTAGTATTGCATTTAGCATTCGGATTCTATTCCGGACGCCTACACACGACCATTAGGATGTACTTACTTTCCGATCTTCATCTTCAACCGGCTAATTAATGTAACCGGGATGAGAAGAAGCACCAGGTCCGTCGAAAGGTTCATAATAATTTGCAATATGTTGTAGTTCTTCCATGTCAAGCATTCCGCTGAAGAAGTAAGAGTCAGCTTCCTTCCAATAACCTATTCGTGAGACGACTGATCTAATGTCACCAGCTTCCAACCTATGAAAAGACTCACAATTCTCTGGCTGAAGCTCCATGTACTCGGAAAATGGCCTGCACCAACCTCCGTACAGTGAAACGATGACTGCAACGTATGCGAGCCCGGTGTAAGCTGCAACGCTGACCCAAGTCTTTCGATAATGACCAAAGAGACTGCCAATAGTGAGCAATTTGTGCTATGCAAGCGATGGCAAAAGGGCCGGATACGTACGTCAAGCGATTGTATAATAGCAGTAAACAACACTTATTACCCCAAAGTGTTGTTTGCATCGATGTTTCGGATAGCATGTTCAGTATGCCCATCTTTCGACCAACTGCGGCATACTCATCCGGAGTGAGGGCATCAAAGTCGGTCGTCGCAACGATGTCAAAGTACATATACAGAGCGGAGATCGAAATCGTGTATATCAGCTGAGAGACTGCAAGTTAGCTTTAGCCGCAATAACCCAGATCAATTGTGGGCATGATAGATATCTGTGGCAGGATTGATGTAAAAAACTTACCACTATTATAGCCATCAATATGTCGTCTACAGTCATCTTGTCGAAGAACCTGCGCTTGCGGACGAGGTACTGTGACTGACTGGATCGGCATATCAGTATGAGACTAGATTTGGGAAACTTCGAATTTCATCTACTTACTATCTCATTACGACCGCGCCAATCGCCAGGCTGTACCATACCCAGCACTCTGCTCTCGTGCTGAGTGGCAGAGCCATCGCGGCGATGCCTCCGGCGAAATGCCCGCCAAGCTGGTGTCGAGAATGTGAGGGCCGCCGATGACTCGATGATGTCGAAACTTTTCCAACCCCAGAATCTTCTTTTCTCTTTCTTTCTTTCGATGAATGAGTTTCCGACCCTCCATCAAAACCAAGGGCACAGGCAAGGTTCCACAGGGAGGGGTTCACTCACGACTATATCGCCTGCGCAGTAGTCTGTCGGAACGATGAGGCATTCCAGTCCCGACGGCCACTGAACCGCATCCGGCTTGCTAGGGGGGAAGCATGGCATAGAGGCCCAGAACAACCCACAAATGCGAGCCTGCCTTGACCCGTTCGACACAAAGATGGCTTTGAGCCAACGACGAACTCAAAAGCCACAATCGCAACTCGAGGTGAGTGGTTCTCCATTGACGGGGGGCTCGCCTCCAAATATCGACGTTGGCACTAGGCGATGCATTAACAGCCGATGGAGAGAAACACACGGATGGCTGGTAGAGGTCTGATTCATGTAGTATCTGGCTGCATTCGGATGGGGGATCGTCAGCTATCGCTGGTGAGTTTTAGCGCCAGCACTACAAAGCACCAAACATCAATGGGGCCGGCAGCTTCCCCCATTTCCCATTCCCCCTCAATGGCGACATCAAAGACATGCTAAAGGGAGACGACACGACTCAGACAGTACGGATTCTGGCCTCCTTCACCTTCGGACCCGCAACGGCGACGCTGCCCAGGAGGCGATCACCGTCCGTGGAAGCTCTTTTTTTACTTTCCAAGCCATCCAAGCGTTCGCCGAGACAAGCGATGGGAGGGCCGACTTGTTGACCTCCGAATCTAAGGGACGGAATCAGGTCCGACTCGGGCCCATATGTGGTTGATCACTTGCAGGTTATCGTCGAAAAGGGTTTGCCCGCCCGCCCGGGAACCCGCCCATGTCGCGTCGCATTAGTGTCTCCCGCATGGCTAGTCTCGTCTGTCCGGCACTCCATAACCGATGACAGACTGGTCATGTCTGGCGGGCGTAAATTTCCTATCGCGTCAAGCCCCTGCTGCGTGTCTTGTTCTCCCGGCCGCCTAGGCCTGGCCAGGGATTGAACACGCAAGTATCTCGCCGACTGATCAGCGGCTTGCATTGTAAGAACGCCACCGCTCAGCCACTTTTTGCTGCAGAGCCCGAGAATCAGGTTCGCCAACGGCTCATTTCGCATACAAACTTGGATTTATTGTCTTAGTCGGCTGTTGCGACAGGTAAGACAGCAGAAAGGGAGAGTGGGCTCGGCTGATATTGCTATATAACCAACTGTGATACCCCAGACGAAGCGAAATTTATAGGCACGCAGATAATGCTATATCACAGACCAGAGAATTGGTAGTGCTCATTGAGAGAGGCCTTTCGGAAAGATCGGGCGGCGTAAATGGTGGCTTCGCCCAGACGAGCATTGCCCGAGTCCGTCTTCTACCCGTAGAAGCCCTCGGTAAGAAGCATGCTTGAGGGTCCTGCACGGCGATACTGGGAGGTCGACGTCCGTCATGGCTGAATTATCGTCGCTGACGGGCTTGGGGACAGAAAGTCAAAATTGAACAAGGACAAGAAGGGCTTACTTCAGCCACGAGATGATCTGCCTAGGTCATCAGAGAGGCCAGGGGAAGTTCCGCTGAACAATAATTAGAAGATTTGAAGCTAGGTTTCCCGATGAAGACGATGGCGACATATGGTAAGACGAACGTTTGTCTAACAACAGTTGCTTGGCCAAGGTGCAGGTCTACGATGCAGCTGATCGATACTTGGCAATGCGGAGTACTCAACATCTCCAATCGAACCGACAGAGTTCTACTTCGAAGTTGTGAGGTCTCATTTTAGAGGCAACTTCCTTTGAGGACCGAGCTGAGACATCCAGATCCGAAGCAGGGCTGTAACTGAAGGTGCGGCTGAGAAGCCATCCAAAAGGATCCATGATAGCCTAGTCACCCACAAGATGGGGGCTGATTTGTATCAGCATGGCACTGAATTGTCTGGCCGGGCAAGTCGTGTTCAATCTGCGGAAAACGGGCGTAGAGGTAAAGGCGTATTCGGCCAGCGAGAGATGGCAGGGGCTTAGCTTTGTGAGCCTTTACATTGCAGAGCCTAAATATGCTATGCCATTCTATTCCTCCTGGGAAATAGGAATCGCAATCTTGTTCTCATGTACGTTCTGCATGGCGTTGTACAAGACATTCACGGTTTCATGACTATGCCCAGATTTCCGGATACTGGACTTCGGAGCGGCCTAGAGCTGATCCAGTGATGGGAGACGGAGACGGCGGGCCTCGATCGGATCGGGATCCTCTAGATTGTCACGTGATGGTATGATTATGTCATTCGTGCCCCGGCGACTGGTAGGTCCTAGCCTTAGGTAAGCACAAGCATTGAGAAGGTACCTTGGCTGACATAATCTCGGCTCAATTCTGTCCCAAGCTGGTATGTGTATTGCATTAGGTAAGTAAGCCAAAGGACCCGCAACATATGTTCATGAGTTCATTTCACGCCTAAGCACCTATTAATAACATGGTAAGGTATGGTGTTGAATACCATCTACGGAGTAGGCCGCACTGCCTCCCGCCCGCTCTTCACAACCACCTGTCACCTCACCCGCAGACGACCGTACTTTCGGAAAAAAATTCAGGGATGCAGATCGCCGGGTGCCGGGGGCCTGGGGTAGCTTGGCTGGGGCAGGCCACAGACCGACCAAACGGGTCAGGCAGAAGACTCGGGCAACCTTTTTCTTCTGGGCCAAAAATACTGTACCTCCTAACGGAGTGCAAAGTACAGAATGATGGTTTGGTGATGATCCCAGATGGGTAAAACCAATCATGACGTGTGGAAAAGCCCCACCAGTGGCTACCTTGACGTAGTTCTCTCTTTTTTTCCAAGGATCCGAGGGACCGACACCGAGTTTGCGGTGTCGCCGCTCCCGCTAGCTCGGAAAGTCAATTTGGACCTTGTTCGGACTCCGGAGCGACAAAAAAGAAAGAAAAAAAAAGAAAAAAAGCTTGGGTGGAGAACTTACTGAGGCGCGCTAGCTCGAGGCGAAGGGGCGAGGGGACGAAGGTCGGAATTCTGAATAGCACCATATCAAAGATTACCTTATAGCAAAATCTCCAAGTCAGCCAGTTTCCCCGCGCGCGTGCGGCTACCATGTGCCTGGAAGGTTGTTAGAAATTGAGCTTCTGACTGGCTGGTTGTTCGGTAGAGTTATCATTACGTAGGATCATCACCACTGTCCCCGTCGCCCATATGTCTGGAAAATCCGGGGAAATGTCTGCTAAATATCCCGCGGGTATCAACATCCAGTACCTACTCCGCAATGTATGAAGAAATGAATCACGGAGCTTGCTACCTTACTTAAGGAAGCAGCCCTCGGATAACTTGGGCTCCTTCTGCATTGGCAAAGTTGCCATGGAGAAGAACTGAGTGTGGATCTCATCTTTCTTACTCTCACTCTCACTCTCACTTACCTATGAAGGTGAGTCAAGACCGTGTCTCACAATGGAAGCAAGCCACTGGGGCTTGAAAGAGCATGAACAGCTCAAGGAATACACAATATTGGAAAAGTGCAAATTGCTTGAAAATTTCCTTTGCCCCCCAGCTTTTCTCACACAGCTTGCCAGGCTTAGGTTCTTCGCCTTCGCTCTTCGGCTAGGGCGAAATTCGCGCAATTGCTTGGCAATTGCCAACACTGTCGCCCCCAGCCTAGAACTACCATATTTTCATGGCCGCCTCGGACCAGGCGAAGCGGACGGGCCGTGGATGGAATTGCGCAATTCCGAGGCACCGCCAGGGAAGGGAAGCAAAAAACAGGCCAAGAGGGGGGTTTTCAAGTGTTCACAAATTGATCAAACGACGCCGGGGTACGTAGGCAACCTTACCCATGGCCAGAGAGCATGCAAAAAAAAAAATCCGGGGTAGGACTGCATAGTGCAGCACTGCAGACCCTCTTGATTCTTTACCGCTGGCGGCTGGATTGCACACCGAAGCCCAATTTCGCGATGCCTTTCCATTAGATCCTTTCTTCTTGCTTATTGAAGAAGTCGGCGAACCAGCCCTGCTTTGTGATTGCCCTTCCATTAGTTACGAATGCCTAGGGTACACTGCTCCGTCTTGGTTCTCGTCACACCGAATGTGCGTTTCACACTTACACGCAGCACCTTCCCCTCCCGCGTGTTTGCCATGAGGCATGAAGCGAGCGGCTAAAGAATTGCCATCAAGTGACTCGAATTCCCAGGTAAAACCACCTTAAAATGGCACCCCCTCGGGACTTTACCCGTTGTGGTCCTGTAGCTGTAGAAGGGCCGGGGGTGGGAAGAAACGCTGTTCATGCCTGGTCTTATTCAGCGGGTGCGTGGTGTTTTCGACTGGATGTCGTTATTTTCATTACGTTTTAGTTTGTCAACGTTTGCCCCTCCACACACGGTATACCCCCCCCCCCTCTCCCATGACTCTCCGCCAACACCTTCGAGAATCGAGGCCTCGTTTCGTTTTTTTTTCTACCCCAGCTAGAACAGAATTTTTCAGGCTTGGCCCCTCTTCTCCCGCCAGTGCGGTTGAGACGTATGTTCTCCACCGCTACAGTGGACAGAGGAGAAAAAAATTTATGGAAGAGCACCTGGACAGATTGGTGGACCACCAAGAAAGCTTGGAAGCTTGAGCAAGATCGTTCGTCGCCGAGGCCGTGCGTGAGCAGCGAACGCAACTGGCAGCGTGCGCACCCCCCGAGATGGCGCGTATGTGGAGAAACCAGCCAGCCAAGGAACCTGTTGCAAGAAAAGAATGATTGACCTTGTGATCAACTTTTTTGGCTGGCGCACCCTACGTCAGGCAAGGCCAAGGATGACTTGTGCCGTAGTTGGGAAAGGTCGCGCAATAGCTGCTGCTTGCAGCCGAGAATCCCATCCTTGCTCTTCTCCTTCCCTGTGGGAGGGAAGCACCTCATATGGACGGGTACCTTGGAGGTAAAACAAAG